GGGTCCATGAAGTCAAAATGCACCAAGTCATCGATGCCCAGCTTTTTCAACTGCAAAACTACAGATCCTAAGTTTGATCTGCAAACGCAATGCAGGTGGCATTAGATGTGTTGCTACTCAAGACGATGCGGGAAGGTCCCACGTTCGATCTCCGGCAGGTACATTTAACATGGAAACAATCAGAAGCGTACCCGGGCGTACATGCCATTTTGCATTTGTTCTGTACGAAATAGAATATGAGAAGCTTTAATGAAAAAAGTTAGTGGAGTTTGGAAGTCGGTCAAGAAGAGGGCCTCGGCGAGCCCGATCACCTCAAGATCTCGGGGTAGGTGTTGTCCTGCATCTCGTCCTTGTAGGCCTTCTCGGTGTAGAGGCGGAAGCACTTGCCGGGGCGCGTGCGGCCGGCGCGGCCCGCGCGCTGCTGCGCCGACGCCTTGCTGATGGGCGACACCAGCAGCGACTCCACGCGGATCCGCGGGTTGTACACCTGTGTCACTTCGACTTGTATTGTCTATGGAAGACAGCTGCCAATTTGCTAAATCTAGGGTCGGCGGACTAAAGCACATAACTCAAAAAAGTGCTTCATTTGTTGATATACAATTATATATTTTTTGTGTTGTTTATAGTGTTGGAAGGGTAACCTATCACAAACTCGAATTTTCATTACACCGAAAACCGAATTGTTCTTTCAGGATATGTTGAATGTTTATCGCAAAGACACGACTATAGTCCATTTGTTTAGGTACTTAACTAAATGTAAACAATCTTGATACATCTTTTTATTGAAACACATGCTTTACAAATCAATAGGTATAAAAATAGGCATGCAATTTCATATGAAGCTAAGTATTTGTATTTTGTATTTGAAGGTAAGGGAAAATCATTTTATAAATGTATATTTCATTAAATAGACATCTCAAGATTGTTTACATTTATTTAAGTACCTAAACAGATGGACTATAGGTTCTAGGTTAGGTTTAAAAGAAAAAAACATTTTCCTCTCAAAATTACTTTCGAGGTTATGAAAATTCGATCAAACGTTATTTCTGGAAAGTGTCATTTCGGCCTGCTGATAGGTAACCGTTGGAAGATGTGAAGAGAATTATAAATTTGAAAAAGACGGCTCTAGAATAAAGTTACAAATTTATGAAGTAACAAATGAATTTGACTTATGTGCTTTAGTCCGCCGACCCTAGAAATTATTGTTGTATCTATTCCCTCGCAAATGCGATGTAGCACAAGCGGCCTCGACTCTCCTTCTTTATGAAGGTCAACAGATGTTGAGTTGATTGGTTGAATTAAAATACATATTGTGGCGGAAACAGGGTGTCGCCGTAAGTGCCTTATGTATGTGTTAAGTAATTGTTCGTATGTGTGGACGCGCACGTCCATGTAGCCGTGTTCGTCAGGCGATGTTTATGTGAAGATATCCATAATATTAACCTTAGAACTAAGTCCAAATTCATGGTCCCACGATTTCGTTTAACCAAGGTAAACAACTCTTTTATGGGGAACTGTATACGTTTTTACAATAAGATTCCGGAGAATATATTAAGTTTATCATTTCCTAAGTTTAAAAACTACATTAAAACTATTTTGATCGAAAAATCATATTACAAAATTGAAAACTACGTGTTAGATAAAGATGTATGGAAAGACGACACGGCTCCAGAATCCACACAAATTTGATTCAAAGTGTATTCCATTGCATTTAAGTTTATTTGAAAAGAGCAATCCCTAGAGTTTCTTGCTCGTTCTTCTCAGGGAGGTCAGCGTAGTGAACGAGCAGTAGTTTAAATGTGACGTTTGCAAGTGTAAATTTATTTTACCTATGGAATAAATAATTATTGACTTTGACTTTGTTTAAGTTACGTGTGTGGCCGCGCATGCCTGTGATCGCCTGTGTGTGTGTTGCATACGCGCGCCTTTCGCATTGCATGTGCGTATATATAATAACTAAATAAATATTTATAACGTAATACGATTGCTCTCACCTTTTGCTTAGCAAAACCAGGGTCAATGACAAAGACCACTCCGTCTATGGTGAGACTGGTCTCCGCGATGTTCGTCGACACGACCACTTTCCTGCCTATGGTACCGTTGGGACGATTGGGTGGCGCCGCTTCGAAGATTCTAATGATTAAATAGTTTTAATCATTATACACTATATAGTATAGCCACTACAATTATGGACTTCTTTATGTTAGCGTCAGCTATTCATTAATACATTAAGGGTCTATACAACCTCAACCATTGACTACAAATAAATGGACGACGGGTCTAATACACAAACCACGAAAAAAATATCCCAAGTCAACCTATTTAAACGTAGTGACATGTAAAGGAATATGAAAAAGCTAAAACGTTGAATTTAAATTGTAATGTCATCGCAGTGCCGTCTAATTTTGCTTGCTTCGCTGTCAGTCGAACAAACGAAGACTAAAGCGTGAATGACGCTCTGTATACGATCTTAACGCCCTATAAGTTCGGACACTTTTTAGCGCGGACCCGACGTCCATATAATTGTAAGTCAATGACCTCAACAGGCTTTGGCTGAGTCCGCATAACAGTGAAAGCCTTGACTCAAATCACTTTGGAAAAAATATATAGTAAAATTAAGTATATACAAACTTACATCGAAATTTTACAAGAAAACCGCTGTATTCTATAGGTGTTCACGTGCACGCGACGTAAACAGACAACCTGACCGGACATTTGCTAAGTGATGACAATAGATTACTCAGCAGTGCAATGACCGTTCTGAACTAGGCTGCTGAGTAGAGTAGTTAACTTTATGTATACATTTAAAAATAATATTGTTTATAGACACACACACTTAAATACCGTTTTGTATAAATAGCTTAAGTTTTGTAAATAAAACTCTCTTTGAATTCAGACATCAACGCTGTCTTATTGACAACGGAGCACCCCTGACTACAGCATCCTCTCACTGCGGCCAAGACACCTTTAGCCGTTAGCTTATCTGATCAGTCTTGTGAGTCTGTGAGACTGGCAGTGAGAAAACCATTTCCTAAAGCACCCTTATCCTCCCCCCTTTCCGTCTGTTGCCTTAGGTCGCACGGTGACAGGCTTCCCCTACTATTTATATAAGTATATATTCCGTAGCGTATGGTTAGGGCTAGGCTGTTAGGTAGGCAACTAGGGTTGTTAGTGATAGTACAGCTTTCCCTGACCACTCATGTATAGCCAGCTAGCTACAGCTAGGTAGTTGACTGTACAATAGGTATTTTACATATACCATTGATTTTTATATCAATTGAACTAAATAGAGCACGTATAGTATACGATACGCATTTATCAAATGGCTCTAATTTAGTTTGTAAAAACAATTTCTGAAATAAGGCCAGCATCCCCGCCGCACGACCCAAGTAAAACGAACCGTATTAGTACGCGAATAACTTGGATTCGAGCTAAGAATAGACTCTTAATTGTTATTAAATTTAACAAAAGTATAAATTTATAGAATAATCAATTGCCGATTTGATTAATGTAAAATTGTTAACAGTAAATTACAAAATGAGTTATTGAAGGGGGCATTCGAGAGTCTGGACAGAGGAGAAATCTAAGTAACGATATACTATTTTATTTATAATAGGTATATTCCCGTGATGTAAGGAATTTTGATAGCTGTATTTCTTTAGTAATTAACATTGACTTACAGTTATATGGACGTCGGGTCCGCGCTAAAAAGTGTCCGAACTTATAGGGCGTTAAAATCGTATACAGAGCGTCATTCACGCTGTAGTCTTCGTTTGTTCGACTGACAGCGAAGCAAGCAAAATTAGACAGTGCTGCGATGACATTACAATTTAAATTCAACGTTTTAGCTTTTTCATACTTTTTTGCATGTCACTACGTTTAAATAGGTTGACTTGGGACATTTTTTTCGTGGTTTTTGTGTTAGACCCGTCGTCCATTTATTTGTAAGTCAATGGTAATTAACGATTAATTTGTCAGTGCTATCTAGTGCCCATGGTAGTGCGTAGGTGGGTACGGACCTCGGCGCAGGACTCGTCCACCGCTCAGAATCTGATTCCATAGATCCTTATTCAAAGTAAAAAGCTTTGTTAGACTCCCTATAGTTTAAACATAATTGGACGTCCAAAATGTAAACAACGAAACGCCATGCAATATCATTGTCAAAGTGTGAATGCTGGTGTGCTAAACCTTCTATTTTTAACGGAATTGAAAAAGGAGATTTCCACTCCTTTAATTATCTATTACAAAATATTAACGATGGACAAAAACTTTAACAACTTCGACAAGAAAACATTCGAGGGACACGTCAATGGCACAAAAATGTTTTTGATCCCGATTGTATTAAATTATCACAAAATTATTTACGATTGAAGGTTGTCACAGTATTTTATTGATATATACAATTGCAAAATTAATTAAAAAATAATAATAATAAATACACACAGTAAATGCGAGTTAAGTTAAAAAAAAGTAAAAACAAATAAATCATGTGACAAAATAATTATCCTAAAAGTGGATAAAAACTAAAAAGTGAATTCCTTGTATGCCATATCCATGCGAGATGGATAAGTCATAATTCTTACATCCATGTATTTGTTTGTTGCGTGTGAATGCCGGCCGCATCGTGCAACTACCTTCGGAACTAATTGTAGATAAATTCATCTCAAATCATATGATTTAAATTTTTGTCTACCTACATTATTTTTCTTAATATGCAGTGACTGGTGATGGTTATATAGATTTAGTGCGCTTTACTATAAGTTTTGAAGTAAGATCTTAAATTTTCTCTGTAAGTGAATTTATATTCTTAAGAGAGATAAATATTCTTTAACCATAAAATGACAATTGTCTAAAGTATCATCAAATCACAGCTCGAAACGTTTATTATTGTCTAAAATAGGAATCTACCATTTAAAATGTATTTTTTGCTCGGGTATCCCCTTTGCATACACTTTGGAAATCTAATTATGATTCACACCATATAGACAATTTGAAATTACTCACCGCTGCTGCAAATTCGGTGGCAAGGTGGAATACAACGGTATACACTTCAATTCTCCTGCATCTGTTCCCAGATTGTCTATCTCTCTCTTGATTCTCTTGCAAGCATCTTCTATCTCCTCCTGACCAGTGAGGAAGAGCAGTATGTCACCAGCTACTTCTTCACAAATGTGGATTTGTACTACAGTACGTATTGCTGCTTCGAGGTAGTCACGTTCAGGTTGGGGTGTGTAGAATATTTCTACGGGGTGAGTACGGCCTGTGAAGTTTCAAATAGATTCCTATAAATTTTAATGATCCATAATAACGAAATATAACAATGATATTTATCAAACAAAAACGCTTCAGGTCCTTCACGGCTGACTGAGATGGTGAAGTCAACAAACAGTTACGTCTAATATTAATGCAAACCACCGTATTCTGAACCATAGTTACGAAAGTCACTAACTTAAATGCCTTATTTTTAATTAAATTTTTATTGAATTGATATTAAATTATTTATTGTGAAATTACTCCATTAGTTTTTGTTGTAATTACAAAAATTCCTTCGATCCGGATCGAACAAACTAATGGGGTAATTTCACAATAAATAATTGAATATTACATTCAATAAAACTTTAATTACTAATAGCGAATCTCTAGCCGAGGCTGGTATCTATAAAGGTATCTAACTGGGTGACGAAATACTATCACAGATTTTCTCATAGATGGCGCTACGGGTAAAAAGTAGCCGAAAACAAAACACAAAGATCCGACAAACAAGCACATAGAAAAATTCGTGAGGTCCGCTGGTGTGTTCCGTGGCTTAGTTGGCATAGCGTATGGCACGGTTTGCTAGAAGACGTCGGTTCGAATCCGGCCGGATCGAAGGAATTTTTTCTGAGTGTTCAAATCTTTGTATTAATAATTACACCTTATTTCTTTCAATAATATTTATTAGTGTGCTAGACAAACATACCAAATGCCTGGTACAAACCCTGTACTATGAAGTGAACAACGCAATTCACTCCAAGTGACGACCCAAAATACCACACCACAACCATTTCCCAAATTGTTGCTACCGGGATTCGAACCCGGGACCTTTCAGTCCCAGTATAATTCCTTGTGAAAGAGATTGAGAGAAGAAGAGAGATTCCGTCCAGGGAAACACTGCCACCGTACCTATTTCTGCCGCCAAGCAGTAATGTGTGCATTACTGCGTTCCCATCGTGAAGGGTAATGGTGCTGGTGAAATTACAGGCACATGGGATTTGTCAACTTATGTCTCAGGATGACGGGAGATAACTGAGTGACACTGCAACTGTCATGGATAGACGTGTCACTGAAATAAACACATACCTGGTACATTCATCAATGGAGCATTATCGAAATACTGCTGGAACTTCCCAGCGTCTAACGTCGCAGACATGATGACCAGCTTTAGGTCTGGCCGTTGCTTGATCACCTCTTTAAGGACCCCCATAAGGATATCCGTGGCCAGGGTTCTTTCGTGGGCTTCGTCGAGGAGGATGACTCTGTATTGCTCCAGCATCGGATCTGACATTGCCTCGCGGAGTAACATACCTATTGAAAATAATAAGAAATCAGCCACTGGTAGCTGTAAAGGTGAAGGCCGAGTGACGTAAAACTTTCATAGATTTCCCACAGATGGCGCTACGGCTAAAAATTAGTCAGATTTTGTTAAATTGTACACTCACCGTCAGTCATGTACTTCAAGACGGTCTGTGGCCCCGAGCAGTCTTCGAAACGGATGCTATAACCTACTTGTTGACCCAAAGCAACATCCATCTCTTCAGCCACCCGCTGAGCCACCGACATGGCCGCCACTCGTCGAGGTTGCGTGCAAGCAACGCCCTTAGATTTGCCTGCTGTAACCGCTGCGAACTCTACTGACCACTGTAGGAAAAAGGAATTTTTTAAGTTTATTAAATGTGACGATGTTTTACTATCATGATATTATTCATTTTATTTTTTTGTGAAATTACTCCACTTGATGCTTACGTAGGCAAGGACTATACTGTCACAATGCTCATTATTGCACGTTTAGAATAGACTAATTTGATAGTCATTTATCTGTTTATTAAATAATAGTAAGCATTATTTTGATACAAATAAATATACTCCCGGGTCACCTCGTATTTCTGTCTTAAAATAAAAAACAAATTAAAAAAATATAATAAAAATTAAAAAATCAATTATTGCAGACAATATACAGTCCATTTACAAGATATCTATTCTACTGTTAGTACAAAAATTACAAAATAAAATTAATTGAATTGATTATGTGACTGAAATGATTACATGATACTTGCTAAGTTCACCAAGCTCCCGGGACGTGAAGTTCGGTGAACCTAGCAAGCAGATCGGAGTCTCACCTATCCCCTATTATTTTAAGAACTCTCTTTGAACTCTCTCGCACTCTGCGCAGGCAGGATGCCACCTTTATTCGCATTAGTGCGTAAAAATCCTCTACACTAGCGTAGGCAAACACGCCTGATGCACTGCAGTATCGAGGAAACCCAAACAGAGCCCTGAACAAATTATTATACTTAAAGGGCTAGAATACAAAAATAGTGTTTTTAATACAGTCGCTCATGGATTTTTCTCACTAGTGCTTTTTACTTTTCCATCTGTTTTTTTAATTTACTGTTGTTTCAAGTCTTAAACATTAAACTAAAGAGGTTGTATATTTATCTAATATTTATGTGCTTGGTGACGTAAGTCATTCGTTAAAACTTATATTTACACAAACATGTAATTTGTTTAAATAGAATAGGTGTTTTATAAAACAACGGGTTAAATTTAAAAATACCGAAATATTTTCCATAATGATGGCTGATTGAGTGTTAACAATGACCGGAGGTGAGTATTACGCGAGAACGCTGCGCGCCACTAAAATAGTAATTTTAATGTGGCTGAATACTGGCAACAGTTGCCATTGTACTCTGAATTTTTATCAGACAAAGAAATAAGATAAGTTTTTTTTTAAATACTGTTTTATTTTACTTTCAATGTAGTAGTCGTGAATAATGACTAACTTTCCGCACTTGTATCAAAAATAACTATATCATAGAAAAAAGTTTTCCCCTGAATTTGCAAATCCAAATTTCCAACAAGGACTTATAAAAAAGATATTTAGGGTCGTATTCCATAACTCTACTCAATGCTCAAGTCATGATTTCAAGCTCTGGAAATACGACCCTAATGGCAAGGACTTGAGTATGATTTTCAGTGCTTTAAATCATACTCAAGTCCTGACTTGAGTATTTAGGGTCGTATGCTAGAACTCGACTCAATGCTCAAGTCAGGATTTGAGTAAAGTTTAAAGTACTCGAAATCATACTCAAGTCCCAGCCATTAGGGTCGTATTTTCAGTGCTTGTGTTTCCAGTGCAATCCTGACTTGAGCATTGAGTAGAGTTTTAGAATACGACGCTGAGTAAAGTTCTGGAATACGACGCTTAGTGTACTAGTTTCAAAATTACTTAATAATTTTTGATCAATCAAAATTGTTTAAGCTTTGAGCGCTTAATACGGAAAATGTGAGGTGGCTCGAATTATGTGTCCGGGAGTGTATTTACAACGTACCTGTGGAATTTGCGTGGTCTTCCCAGAACCGGTTTCACCAACAAGCACAACGCACTGATGTGTGTTTAGGAGTCGCATAAAGTCATTCTTGTATTCCCAAACGGGCAGTCCTAGACGCCGGCGCAGCAGCTCGTGATAGCGCTGAGAGTGGGGGAGGCCTGGGAATCAAGGTAGCATGTCAATATCATAATACACTCATCGACATTAAAATCATCAGTCACGCAATAATAATAATAATAAATTTATTTATTTCAGAAACTTACAGACAAATTTCACATTGACAGTGTTAAGCTTGCAATATTGCATTTAGGGTAAGACATCTGTGTCTCAACTAGATAATTAATTATCTGTATTTCAGACATCGCTCTTCCGTGAATACAAAAACATGTTGACCGATTTCAAAAATAACTTTGTCTTCCAAAATAAGTTTTTAGGACTAAGAGTTTAAATTTAAAGTTATTTATATTAGTCTACTTACTTTACGTACCTTACTTACTACTATTAGACTTTACTAAATTTATGGATTTATTTATGGATATGTGGAGTAAGATCTATGATGAGATTTTTACAGTGAAAGGAATTTGGTGAACACCATTGACTTACAATTATATGGACGTCGGGTCCGCGCTAAAAAGTGTCCGAACTTATAGGGCGTTAAAATCGTATACAGAG